GGGGCACAGCGATGAGAGTCGCATCAATGCTCAAATCAACGGGCAAGGAAGGGGTCCCATTTCTCGGGTTCTGGGCCGTTTCTCATGGTTCTTCCTTCTTTCGTGTACCACTCACCATCCCTAGGTTAATTTGAAATGGGTTGCTTTTTCATCGTGAATTCGTCCTTTAATCTGGTGCGGAAACGCAGCAGGTAAGCAACCTAATTAAGTGCAGTGACCTAGGAGTCACTACGCCATCAAAACAATCCTCATTAGCTCGAGCAGCATGATGCGCAGAACTTACACAAAAGGAGGGTGATGGTGCTTGGGGAATTTGGTGAGAGGCGGTTTAGAAGTAGGGTTGCCTTGGTGTTGAGATGATTGTATACTGTTAGGCGTGACCATCGTGGTAGGATGATGCAGGTTCAGGGGAAAACGCAAATAGAATCTTGGTCAACGCAGGACTGAGGCGGAAATGCAGAAGAGAAAGCTCGAGAGGTCCAGACGACATAACTGATATACCGATGCGGGAAAGAGATTATGAGGGGTACAATACACATATAAAAGGAAACGATGCAGGGGAAATCGTGTGTGAGGGACCACATAAAACGACGATTCAAAAGACGGTTCGAGACCTCAGAAAAACCAGAAGGCGCGCTAGAAGACTTGTTGCATATAGACTGATTCTTTGTTAGCTTTGAAACCTGTCAATGAGATCTCTTCTGAAGATGTTATCGGATTTCAGTTAGGTGTGAAACGTACCATTTTGAACTGACTCCCGTAAAGGTCGCGTCACCTACGGGTCTCGCCACCTTCGTAAGTCGAAATACGTCATAAGATAAGGCCTTAGAACAAATCCCACCAAAAAAAAAAGAATCGGGGTTCGCCCTCCTTTCGCTATCTTGCCTTATGTGACAAAATGTTCACCTGCTATGCTCTCCCTACTCCGACTTCTTTGTCCTCTCCGCAACTCGCACTTATCTCTCATCTCTCTGCCTGTCTACTACTCTCAGCAGCGTAGAGCAGAGAGATCGTATTTCCTGTGATTTTAATAATTCCCTTCGTTTTTCTCCACGCAGTCCACTCTCCATCCCTATATTCACCGGGACCAAATTCAAATGCAACTTCAATTCAAATTCAATTTAATCCTGATTTCGCCTCAAGTAACTCGTATTATTGTAGCTGATCACCTACTTGTCGCACACGAGAGCCACGAGAGCTAAAGTTGCGGCCTTGTGCCGGCGAACGGCTCGTTCCGCTGCTGGTGGTGTTTGCATTCTTTTTGAAGTGCCGATTATAGCCCTGTTCATCGGCATGCTCTTCGGAAGTGCGCTGGCCGACACACGTCGAATCCACCGTATTCTCTGCCGCTGTCACCTAAAATTCAAAACTGCATCAACTGGGTGAGCAGTAGATGTTCATAATACAAGACAGATAACAAAGGCTACGGATTCACTGTTACCGTAATCCGCGTTAGCATTCGTGCGCGCTGCAGCACGCATTGGAGCGCTGTTTACGCGATGCAAGCATCAGTGCGAGAGTGCCCAGTGAACAGAGAACGCTGAATCATCAAGCCTTCCCGTTGACCGCTCCCCTGCCTTGGACGCAGTCGCTCATTCCTGCTCATTCATCACATATTTTGTACTTATGCACACCACTGCAATTGACATGCTTTGTTTTGCAGTCTTAAACTGTATGAGCACTCACTCCACTGAAAGATCCGGTGCTAGCGTAGTTGAGGGGGGCCACGCGGCGGCGCGGCGTCTGTTCGTCTGTGCTCTCCAAGGCTTAGTCCTGAGGGGCCACTGTATTTCGAAACTGCGTCGCGGCGGCGATGGAAACGGCCCCTCAGGACTAAGCCTTGGAGAGCACAGACGAACAGACGCCGCGCCGCCGCGTAGCCCCCTCAACTACGCTAGCACCAAAGATCTTCACGCAGATACATGCATGAAAATTGTTTCGTTTTTTTCAGTCATTGGGCAGATCGAACTAGTCGTGCATAAACTTGCTAATGGGAAGTAACTCTTCAACTTCTGGTGCTTAACAAATAATGATGGTGATCCAAGCCGCAATTAACACCAAATTATGAGAACGACGAAAAGTAATAATCTAGTACTCCTTTTCCGAGCTTTTCCTTGCACTGGCCTATGCCGGTGGGGCCGATGGGGCCGCTAGGGTATGAACCGCTCTTTCCTAATCCAGTCTTAAGACTGCCTACTCTGCTTTTTTCTATGCTCAGTTGTCTACTTTTT